TTTCAAAGCAGAGTAAATGCGAATTTCACACCTATTCTTTTCTAATTTAGGTTCATTTGAAATCCAGGCACCCCTCTTTTACTAATTTGTTACGGCAGTATTAATTAATAGTATTGCTCTACAGCAATAAGAATGAAATTTAGACTAAGATAGGTTAGAAGGACTACAAGATTAGAAAAAGAATTGCAAGTTGGTCAGAAGCAGCTGGGGGCCACCTTGGTCTTTTGAACTGAACATACTGCACTTGGAAAGCCTGGGAGTGTGTGGATGAATTTCTACCAGTGCAGACTCATTAGGACTGGTTAGGTTAGTGCCCTCTGGTGCTGCCTCCTGCATTGGAATGTAAGAAATGTAAGAAAATGAGCTTCCAAAGTGGGAAGAAACAATTGTCAGACTTCCATGAAAGCTTATAATTGAAGAAATTGCATTTTATTTGGTGGAATATGTGAGTTCAGACCAACTCCATCAGGAAACAAGGAGTAATATTTAGTGACTTATACAAGGTACAGTGAAGAGCTGTAATTTCCATTCTACTGATTCACTTTATTTCTGCCATGAATTTAGCAGATCTCCAGGTTCCTACCTTAGCTTCTCCAATCAACATTGTGTGCCCAGTCTCGGACCATGAATAGTATTTATCTTGCACTTCAGTGCCTAGCCCAGACCAAACATCTGGTTGAGGAAGAACTGGCATATTGATGGGCAAATCTTGTGACCATTTCAGGTGGTTCTTCGGTTATCTCAGCTATTTTCTCTTCATCCTATACATAGGCAATTGCACACATCTCCCAGTCACTATTGTACCTGTAAGAGACTCACAGAAGTGGATTGATGCTCTGCTGATGGCAGTAAAGAAGGCATGATCTCAATTATTTTGGCTTTAAATTATGAGATTAAATGTTTTTTCCAGGTGTAAATTGTAATATGCCTTTGTTTACCTTTTTATAATTTTGCAGTTAGCCTAAACACATTGTGCAGCAATCACAGGAAAGAAAATCAGAGTCACAGCAATGTGCTTTTAAGAAAACACTGGTATTGTAAAGTGCTCAGAACTTCATGGTGTGTTTTCAGTAAGTGTTTTCATGGTGAAAGGCAGCTGAAGAAGGAAGCTGGATGGCAGAAGACCCATGGAGTTTATCTATTTTTGGCTTTACTATTCCTGTATTCTTGTAGCCCTTTGTTTCACCTGAATCAGAAGATATCAAGGTGACAGGGTTTTACATCCATGCTGTGTCATTTCCTGGTGGTTCAGGAAACTCCTGTGTAGACAGCACCTCTCAGGACAAACTGGACGATACAGAATCACAGAGTCACATAGTCACAGGTTGGAAATTAAGGTTGGAAAAGATTTCCAAGATCCTCAAGTGTCATCCTGTTCTTTTGAGAGTTTTAAAGTTCTTCTAAAAGTTTCTTATGCCTTCTGATGTTTACATATTTCTAATGAATATTCTCACACTGTTCATATAAACAATGATTGTTTTCCATTCTTTGTGAGTGGAGAGAATTGATGGACTGTTTATTTGACCAGTGTGGTTGGAGAGGTGGTAGTTTCACTCTCCAATCCACTGTCACTTTTGCTATTGTATGTATTATGGAGCCAGAAAATAAAATCTCTCTTTGGGTTCTTTTCTTTTCCCCCTTTGCATGTAGCGTCCGTGTGTGAGTTATTTTGTGTCGTAGTGTGACACTCAAGTCCAACCTTTGACTGACCATCACCATGCCAACTAGACCACATCATTAAATGCCACGTGCAATCGTTTCTTGAACACTTCCAGGGTTGGTGACTCCACCACCTCACTCAGCAGTCCATTCCAGGGCTTAACCACCCTGTCAGGGAAGGAATTCTTCCTGATGTTCAACTGGAACCACCCTGACACAGCTTGAGACCATGTCCTCTTGTCCTGTCACTGGCTGCTCGGGAGAAGAGGCCAACCCCCACTTGGCTACAGCCTCCTTTAGGTAGTTCCTCTTGTGCCTCTTTTGGCATTTACTGAATATCCCTTAGTCAGTAGAAAAGTGTCTGTCTGTCCGAGGGCACACCCAAGGCCCAGGCTGAGGGACACCAGGTCCCCTGGGAGCCCTGATGAGCAAGGCAGAAACATCAATGGTTTGGATGCCCAGCTCATAAGGACATCTGATTTTTTTTTTTTAACTTTCTTGGATGCTGTGAAATCCAAAATTTCAGGACAACTGGGCTACAGGTTATGTGACTTTTGACTATTTCCTGTTTCCAGTCAGGCTGTAACCACAAAAAGCCCAATTGTGGCCTCCTAATGCCACTGAAAACAGCAAGGCAAACAGGAGCAGAGATATGCAAAATTGGAATACTCTTTGTAAAGGACAAACACAGAGAAAAAAACACTCCTGGATTCTACAAAGTACTAAAAATGCGCTGAAACTACTACAGCTGATCTTGTTTGTCTGTTCTCACTACCAATGAGTTAGCTGTTCGATATTCTAACAAATACAATAAAGCACATAAAAAGAGCGAATGCTTACATAGAACAATAGTTTCTCCTTATTCTGTGAAGAAATTAATCCTTCCTAATATTTCAAATTCTACTCCTAAGCTATTTGCGTTTCAGGGTGCTCTCCTGCTTTTGAACACTTAGGGACATAAACCAAGACTACTAAATAGGAATAGTTTTGAAAACTTGGCTTGAAGCATGTCTTTGAAAATGTGGTTCCCACAAGATCAGGGGAACAAGAAGGAGCTAAAACAACACTTGGAGAAGCTGGCTCTGACCACAGCTATTGAGAGCTAAACTCTCCCCAGTATGGTTACACCACTTCAACTGAGCAAAGACCAGATGGGCTGACTGAGGCAATGAGCAAAGGCAGTCACTTGATGAGGTACTGCATAACACAGTGAGAACAGGAAAAGAGGCTTCTGGATTTAATGCTTAAGCTGAAGTCAGTGGAAATATGTCTGTTGGTTTCTGTGGAATTTGAATTATGATTTAGTGAGTAACACTAAACCTGAGTAATGCTCAGGTTTTGTGTCACAGCTGCTCTATCTGTTGAAGAGAGCAGTTTGTAAGGTTAGCAGAAATCAATGTTAAGGCTTATCTCTCAATTAATGTGCAGAATGCTGGCATTAAAAGTAATCTTTTAGTTGGACAATTCATAACCACTCAAGAAATACTGATGGGAAAAGTTCAGTGACACCTTTTCACTGACATTTATACTTCCAGAACAGTGAAGAGAAGAAGATAAGGAGGGCAGCAGTCTACAGAAAGGAGAAAAGGCCATAAAAAAGGGAACATTCACTGGAGAATATGTCACTTAATGAACAGTTGGAAACTGAAGCAAAACGAGATATTCAGGCAGAAGGTGAGTGTAAAGCCAAGAAACTAGGGAATATTTCAGAGATCTCAAGAACTGAGGCAATGATCCTTGTGGTGTAGTTTCAGAACATGACAAACCAGAGCTCAATAAATACATAGTATTTACCTGTTGACACACCCAGCAAAGTTCACTGGGGGCAGCAAAGCAACCACCAGAATGGGATTACTTATGACCAGAATTCATTTGGGTAGGAAACACTAGAGGTATCTAATTTAAAACTGTGTGTACTTTGAAGGAGCGCTGGAAAGGTGAAATTGCTGTGTTAGCTAAGGTTTCCAAAATGCCTGCAAAGCACTCTGTTAGAAGATCACTATTATTATTGAACTATGTTATTATCCCACTTGTTCATGGAGTTTGCAATCTGGAATTAAAAGAAAAGTGGAGGATTATGGTGTATTTTAGAATTTCTCACATTTACCGGGTTTTCTTTTTGGAAACATAAAAAGGAAACTTCTGGTGACCAACTATAATTCCTGGGTCCTGCAGGCAGTCAGGTTACCTAGAGGATTAATCTCCTATCAAGCTCCTTGAACATATAATGACCACCTTTACTAATGTTAATGAGAATTGCTACTCATAATTTGCATTTACACACTAGTTAAGGATCTTGAAGTGTACTTTTATATAATATGCTCATTTTTATTACAGGCATATTGAATTTAAATGACTTGCCTAGGGTCTCACAGCAAGCCAACAGCAGAATGATTCTTAGTGCTCCTAGTGCTTTGCATTAAATCCTGGACATTAACAGCTCCCTTCACAAAGGGAGCTTTATAGCTGTAGATCACCTCCTGATGCTGATGAATCAAACCTTTTCTGATAGCACAAACAAATCCATAAATTACTTGAACTCATGTAATGCTTCCCAGTGTCTGCAAATCCTGACTTCCCGTGAACTTAGAAAATTCCCAGTAATGCTTAGATAGCCTTTGGTGTATGACCAGCTCCAAAATATTCATGTGCTAAGTATGCAACTCAGATCTATATTTTCTATATGAATACAGCAGTAACCTCTACATTTGTTCCAAGAAAGCTTCAAAACTTTCAGTATACATTGCGCTGTCGGAAGCATATGTGAAAACAAAAAACAGAACAAAAACACCCAAACCCTGAAGTCAAACCAACTAAACAAAAAAATAACCCCCAATAGTAAGACTATAATAAACAAAATTTCTTAACTTTTCCACTGGCAGAATTGCTCTGATACGGGCACATTCCTTATCACTGAAGTCTCCTCTGAATAGCATGGTCCTCATCAAAAATTAACTCTAAAAGGAGGAGATGGAGCATGCCTTTATATATGGGCTCCTCTCTGTTAAGAAGGATGCAGTACCACAGAATTGCCTGAGTTTTCTGCCTGTGTCAATATTATTGTCTCTAGCAAAGTGAAATGTTGGTATTTCCCCTTATATTTTGCCCTCTCCTCTATGCCTTCCATGGAATGAGATTCAAATTGTACCCAATGATTTTGGGATACTATTTCCAAGCTTTTGCCTGTGGCTCTTTCTATGGGAAAAGAGTTGTTTTGTGGCACAACACTTGGTGTAACATGAGAGGAACCATTGAGTAGACCAACAACAGCTACAGCAATACCGATCCCACTCATCGAAAGAGTTCCTCCAATGCGGTGGCAGCTACCCAGGAGCTCTCACCTGTGGCAAATGGTGACATTTACTCCTGCTGGGAATGTGGCTGGGCAGACGAATGTTAAAGAGAGCCTGCAAGGCCGCCTGCGCCGCTTGCCCCTTGGCCAGCTTCTTGCTACGTCCTGAGCCTTCAAACGTTCTCCCGTCCACCCGCACAGCCATCACAAAGCTCTTGATGTGCTGCTTCTCCACCGTCTCCGAGAGGCAGACGTAGCGCAGGCCGGAGCGCAGCTCATTGAGCAGCACCACCGGGTTCTTCTCGCTCTCCGCCTTGGCCATCCGGTGCTTGCCCGGCTTGGCGTGGCCCATCAGGTCCAGCGTGTGGCACAGCAAGCGCCCGTGTCGGTAGGCGGTGGAGAGCAGCTCGTTATTGACGGGGTTGTAGACTGAGAAGTCCTCGCTGTGTGTGGATGGTTCGAACTCCTTGAACAGAGTGTCTGGGAAGTCTGCCTGATCGGAAGTGAAGTCCGTGGATGGGCTGATGCAGTTTCCCATGGCGAAGTGGGCTTGGCAGGCGTTGGGGAACTGAACGAATGACTTCAGAGCTAACTCTGCGGCGCGCATTTTGGCTTTCTTTTTTGTGGGGCCTGTGCCTTCAAATGTAAGTCCATTTACTTCCACAGCAACAGCAAAGACTGGAGCATGCACTGGACCTGTCTGGGACACCATTTTATATTGTAATCCTGGTTTGAGTTCGTGTAGCTGAACCAGAGCGTTCTTTGGCGTCACTGACCATGAAACTTTCTTCCAGATAAGCTGAAGTTTGCAGAAATGGCCATTATTACCTTCCTCTAAGGGTCTTTTCCTTTTACTGCTAGTTGTTCCCCCTCTTGCCCTATCAGTGGATGCTATTGGATGATCCTCCAGGTTGCCAATGTTTCGATTTTCCTTTACTTCTGCACTGCTGGTACCTGTCAGTAAAGAAAGGAAACAACTCGCATTACAATTGTCATCATCGTAGCTGACATTATGCCTAGGGCTGTCAGAATAGCCAAGAAAGAAAAAAAGAGAAATAGTTGCTAAGCCTTTTTTAGGAGTCTTCCTTAAATATCTGTATAATGGTTGGTTTATTATTTCTAGCACAGTTTTTTCACATGTTCTGAATGTTTACTTGTCCCTAAAGGTCTGCTTCTATTAGTCATTAGCCTTCTGTTTTAAGAAAAGATTACATCATTCAAAGATGAAGCATAATGGATGCCATGTGACTTAAATGAACTGCTTGATAATTGCTAGTAAAATTTCAATAGTTTGGAAAATTCCCTCAGGATGACAATTGTTCTATAATCCATGTGGGTGAATGCTTATGAACACATTATTAGAAATCAGAAATTATTCAGAAACAGAAAAATGGGTCAAAGCATTGAATAATCTATTTGCAATGAATACACTGACCGTCTCTGCTCACACCATAGCCTCTTGCATTGTCAGCCTAATGAATCCAGACTGGGAAATGATCTGACAGACCTTCATAGCATTTGAAACAATTATTTGGTCTGGACTCAAATCCCAGTTTAGTAAGTGAGTGTCTTGCTGTCAAACTCAATTGCAGCTACTCTTAGTTTCTGCCAGCAACAACTAATATTGCAAAAGTTGTAGATAAATCCCAATGAGACCAGGAGGAGCCAGAACATCATGACGGGAACAATTACTGATGTAAAGGATGATCCATGTCAAAGAAAAGCAACAGGAGAGGGAGAGTTGTCACTGTTGAGGCAGGACGGGAATGAAAGAACTCCAGCTCAGAAGGTTAGGTGAATTACAACTACTCTTTATTTCAAATACATCACTCTTTTATAGAGAGCATCATGCAGACTAGTTTCATTAGTCTTAAAGTAGAAACATTTCAAACCATTGGTGTGCAGTGAATGATGCACGGTGGCAGAACATATCTTATAAACAATGTGAACAACAAGAGAGATAGAGAATTATTTACATTACTTTGCAACTCTTCCCCAGGCTCTAGCCTGGTTAGAAAGTTTCCTTTCTCTCTGACGGAACTGAGAATACCCATAGAGAGTGACTACCAGGAGTGCCAGGAAGGGAATAAAATGACAGTGCGGAGCTATAGAGGGGGGAGCACTCTGTTGTTGAAGCAATGAACCTGCTCTGGACCACACCTGTGCAATGTGCTGCAAGACAATGAGTGCTCTGTGCCACAGCAGAGGCATGGCTGAGAATGGAGAGTCATCCCACTGATGTCTTGATTCAGACACAAGACGCGCTGCTGGCTAAATAACCATCCTATAAAATTTATGTAATTTCTGATGAGTTTATTTAAATATCTTGCATCTCTGACATATCCTCCAGTCATCCTGTGCATTCCTTGGGACAGAGACAAATGGAAGAAATAAATGTGGGTGTAACCAACCTACAAGGCCATCCATCCCAGGGGTGAAGCACCTGATCTCTTTCCAAGCGCAGCACTGTGCAGCTCTCTGCTTTACTCCAAACAAACTGGGCATGGAGCCTTTCCCAGGTCTGGTTTGTTATTGTCAGATGTGATCATGCCACCTGCACAGGCTTTGTCAGTCTCATGCACAGAGAAAGTTCCTGTGGTCCTCAGGGGACAGAGAATGGTCTGTAGGGGCATGGCCATGTTTGGTTTTCTCTCTGCTCTGATAATGTAAGTTGGTAAGGATGTAAGGGGTGAGCTGCTGGCTAAGCTTTGAGAAACTCCTGCTGGAGTGCTGTGTCTGTGCTGCACCCCAATGTTAGGCTGGGCCAACAGATGCACAGGAGCCTTCAGAGATTATGGGGAGCCAACCATCATGATTAAAAACTTCCTTTATATTCTGAAATGTTTCACTTGTATTTAATATCAAGACTTTTTCCCATCAGACCACTAAGTCTGCACTCATGCAAGTTGTTAAACAGAAAGAGGGTCACTGCTTAGACAGGAGTAATATTCATGGCATAAATGCCATGTGTGGGGCCCATTTGCAGAACTGAGTCTTTAGGCTCCCTCTCCTGAAAACCCTGCAGCACACACTGAGCTTCCAGCCTGGGTCTATGTCTCACCAGAGTTATCACCAGAGCACTCTTCTGCAGGGCTTTGCTGAGGCAGAACGTGAACTGACAAATTAAGGTTTTAGTGACTAGTTAATTTTTACTTTCTGAAGCTAAGGGGACAGCATGAAGACAGGTGAGGAAGGAAAGAAAAGACCTACATAATAGTAAAAGAAAAATTTCATCACATGGTATTCAGCTGTATCAAATATGATACTTTTAAACCAACCTCTCTTGAAATAAGACATTTAAAAGATCATGATAACTAAGGCACAAGGATAATGTTCTGTTTTCCCATTGAGTTCACAACTGTCTTTATAGAGACACTGCTCTGAAGGGAAAGGGAATATCAGCTTTAACTTCCTCTATCCAGCTTGACAGTGTCTCTGGCCATTTTCCATCATGACCTTTTCTCAAGTTTTCATCCCACTCAGAAGATATCTCTTTAGTTGTGTATATTTTTTAATGTAAAGGCAAAATATTTTGACACAGACATATTTTTTTTTTAGCCAGAAAAAGGTTTGGTTCTGTATTTCACACCTCCTCTCCCATCTTAACCTAATAGGTTTTTACAGAGCCAATTATGGTACATAATGATACTGTAGTCAAGAAGCATGAAAAGAAAGATAGCTCCTGCTTCACATAATATTCAGCTTTGAAAAGAATTTGTACAGATTATGCACCACTGAATAGGAAAACTCAAGAGGTTATTTGTGTTTATCATTCATATTGTCTTATTCCATCTGGTTTTACTTTCGTGGTCAGAGAACTATGCATTTGTGAACATGAATGTGTGACCTTAACATCCTACCTTAACCACCCTCAATAAAACAATGGTTCACTAAAACCATAAAATAAACATTATTTATTTGTCATAAATTGTGTCTATAAAATTGTCTAGTCCATGTTTGGCTGACAGAGTTTGCCTTGATGAAGTGAAAAAAATTGCAGACATGCAAGTGTAAAACTTCCAGAGATCAAGCACAAAGGATGTGTGGACAAAGTTGGGCACGCATGGTGATGACATGCCTGTATTTATGGTGTGTTTTGGCCTCATCACAGCGAAGAAAGTATCCTTACAGTGCAAGTATCCTTACAGCCAACCAGATTTTAGAGTACCTGGTCCTGAAACACCAGGAAACAGCCTAGTTCTGCCCAGATCTCAGTAGGATCTGCAGCAGCCAAGAGTCATCATGGCCTGTAAAGCAGAGGCAGCCTAAACTCAGTGAGTGCCTCAGAAAGTCTGTGATGGACTTGTGTGATCCCTGGCAGCTGCCATGAAATGTGAAATTACTTTATACTTTCAGGTATCTTTGAAATAGGAAGTCTTTGAAATGTGTCTTTTGTGAGACCTCTGTGTAGCAGACATAAGATTACCTCTCTAATGGTGGCACATGTACTTCTATTGTGAAAATCAGACAAAGCAGGCAAATGACACCAAACTACACAAGATAAATACTGTAAGCAGCTGTAATAGAACAATCACAAGCAATTTTAGAAATGAAGAGCGCTAAAAGGAAAGGGGTAAGTCAGAGGATACACACAGGGAAAATGCAAAACTCGGGATCATTTTCAGTTTTGTTATTTCTCATAATGTCTTTGTTCTTGACTCTCCCAAATGTATTCTTTACATTTGGGGAAAAAAAAAGATAATATATTATGGCTCTCCCATGATGAAAGGTTGGAGAATAATAACATTGAAAGGGGATGGAGTTAAAAAAGAAAAGAGGAAGGAACATACAGATTCTGGCAATAGTTTCTAATTTATTTAGTAAGATTTCTAAAAAAGTCCTGCAGCTTTGCACTGTAATATCTCCCCAGGTAATTTGATTAATTGATTTTTGCAGTTTCACAGGCAACAGGAGACACTGTGATCTTGTATTTGCTTCACTAATTGAATGGGAGAAAGGAAAGCAGTTAGTGAAATATATTTATTTATGCACTATTCCTCAATATTCTGACTGCTCTTTCATGTTTTTCTCCTTTTGGTCATTATGCACAGTAGAGTTAACCTAGAGAGTTTGCATCATCAAGAGCATTTCAGAACTATAATGCATCACTAATAATGACACTGGTTATGTCTCTGGGTCTTAAGGGCTCTGCAGAACTAACCATCCGATACTCCACGCTACATTTGAAGAGATAATATTGTTCCTGTTGAAGGTTATTCTGCTGCCAAGCCAGCTTCTAGGGAGGATGGGAAAGGAGAGATGGTAGGTGGCATCTTCATTTTCACTGGCATCTCTACTATTGAATTACAATGGACACTACATTATTGAAAAGTCATGATATTAAAAGAATTCGCAATATCTGTATTATAGCCAACTCCCAATTCAACTGATAGCTCTGAGACAGGCAGTTACTGTCTTTAGAAATGTTTAGTAAACATGGATTGCTTATGTAGAGTACATTTTTGCTGTTCATCTATATCACATTGACTACAGATGTTAGGAGGATTGACTTCCATAATTCCTGGAATACTTGAAAGTGAAAAATATTGAATCAGGAGCAGTAGGTACAAACCCAGGAGCCAGATCCATGTCCAAGGCCAGCTCTGAAATCAAATGCAATGTAGGGCAGTTTCCTCTTGCAAGCAAGATGGCATTTTCATACACTTATTGCTTCCACAACCAAGAGTTGGGAATGCTTCTGCTGGGTTTTTAGGTTGATATCCTTGCCTTTGGAATGATAAACTTAAAGCTAACAATGGAAATCACTCCTTTCTCTCTTACATGAAAACACGCTTATGTATTTTTAAATCTTCATGTAAAAAGCCTAGGTAAGCCATGATTTCTCTGTTGCTGTTAACACTCCCTGGCAGCTCACAGGGTTCGGGTGGTTAAAACCAGTGGCATTAGATTTTGTCAGTGTGCAACACCACACTGCAGAGAGAAGCATTACCAGTGAAAAAAGTACAGGACTTTGCTTAAAGGGAAGATGAAAAGTTTTTGAAAGATGACTGCCATTGTCTTTAGCTGTTCCAGAAGGAACATACTCTACTTTACCCACCTAACTATCTGAAATAACTCTGAAATCTATGTCTAATACAGATCTTACCCGTCTCCCTGTTCTTTTAAAAGTTTTAAGGTTCTTTTAAAAGTTTTCTACGTTTAAAAGATGTTTACATATTTCTAGTGGAGTTCTCACGCACTGTTCATGTAAATAATGATTGTTTTGCATTATTCTTTGCGGGAGGAGAAAATTGATGGACTGTTGGCTTGACCAGTGTGGTTGGAGAGGTGGCAGTTTCATCCCCCAATCCACTGTCACTTTTGGAATTCTATATATTGTGAGGTCAGAAATATAACTTCCTCTTTTCCTTCTTTTGCATCTTGAGTGAGTGTGTGAGTTATTTCATGTCATAGTGCAACACTTACCAATAAGGGAAATTATCCAAATGATTTAATGATGAGCTGACTTAGATTGATACTCAAATTCTGATACTCTCTGCCCAAGTTAGCAAAGAATGGCATGTAGCAGAAAATGTGGGCAGCCTATGGCAGAGACAGACCTAAGGACATGTCTTCCTGAATCAGAGCTGGAGCATTTTAGGCCCTGAAAAAATTCAAATTATAGCAATAGACACAGTTTTCAAAACAAAAATAAGGGAATAGTTTCGGTGATGGATTGCTCCTGAAATGGGACGTTAATTTTTTATTTAGAGCCAGGGTTGTCTGTCTCACAGTGTGAGACTGTATCCCTGTGGAAACAAAATCTCTGGGGCCTCATGCTGTCTGAAGAGGAATTTGACCAACATGCTCGTAACTGAACATGCTTCAGTACATTGAATCTGAGTCTGGAATGTGTCCTTCAAGACTGCTGCAGTGGTTGAAATCAGTGTGCTGGGGACCATCAGCTCCCTCTGCAGACACTGGGGAGGCTGCCCTGAGCCTGTGCCTGCATCAGCACTCCATAATGAGATCCCAGGAATCATGTGCTCCTGCTAGAGGTACAACCTGGATTCAAAAGTATCTGTGGCTGGTGATAATCTGCCTTGATCCCGTGGCAAAGTGGGGATGGAACATTTAAAGATCAGGCACAGGCATAGGCTTGTAACATCATGAAAGGCAGACAGGTTTAAGCAGTGAACAGGGAATGATTATTCACTGTTTCGTGCAATCCCAGCACTAGAGACAGCAGGCTTGAAGCAATAAAAGGGTGCACTTTTTGACAACACTCTACATCACTCCTTGTTCCTGGCTGCTGTTGAGATCAGAAGTATCAGTGAGCTCTGGATAGGACTAGACAGTTCTGTTGATGCCCAAGAAATATGATGATTCATGTGCAAACTCTAGCAGAGTAAATTTTTGCTAGGGGCTAGAGGGCTATACCAAGGGGAGGATCCCCATTTAAATGTCCTTTTTTTTTTTTCAAAGCATCATTAACAAATGCTGAAGACCATGTACAGAGCTAGGCTTCCTATTTCTAATCCTCTGTGTTATTTCTTACATTCTTAGATACAACTGCCTTCTGGGGTTGAATAGGGTGGTCCTTTCCTTGCATGTTCAAAATTAGACCTTCATCAGAGACAGATGATTACCCACAATTTCATTGCAAAGGTGCATAGTGCCTTTGATAGTTTTTCTAGTATTAGTTCATTGAACATAAATGACAAAAATTATGTCTGTATGCTAATAATCACCTGCTGAAAATGCAGGTGTAGTAAAACTGCATGGCTCCCTTTGTAAAGAAGGCCTAAGGGAATGTGAAACAGGATTTGTATCCATTTCAGCTGGTGGAACTCTGCCCATTGATGCTGCACTGTCGGGGAAGCAGTGCTCTCACAGGATGCTCAGTGAGCAGAAAACTACAGGGACAAGCAACCTACTTCTCTACCTTGCCAGCATTCTCCTGGGCTCCTGTTAAATTGCGAACACAGGAGAAGATTTTTCCAGCAAATCTCTGAAGCTCTTTAAAATATGGAATTACTCCAGAGGCACATGTGTGCTATAGGCTTTAGTGGGATTTAGGCCATTATACTGTAAGTGAACCCAGAAATATAGATGAATTTAAATTAATTCATATTTCAAAAAAAATTAAAGAGTTGAATAGTAACACCTAAAACATTTTCTGTGAACCAAGAATTAAATAGCTGCCTTTTCACTGGAGCATATGTTTGACCAAAGGGAGGACATGAAAAGGATGACCCTGAAAACAGTGACATTTGCTGTTTCTCTTTCAGAAAACTTAGCTTGCCCTGTCCATGTGAGCTGTTTTACAGCCCACGCAGGCAGGAAGCTGTCTTGGTGTTGCAGTAGCAATAAGAAAATTGTGTTACAGTGTTTGGCTTGTACAAACTTCCTACATTACCTAAAAATAACTAAGTAGCACATTTGGGAGCTATTACGAAGGAGGTGCCTGCACAAGCTCATCGTGTGCATAATATGTTTCCTCTGTGTGTGTGTGTGTATACTTCTCACACGTCTTCCTGAAAATACAGCCTTCCTGGGAGCAATTCTGAAGGATTTTCAGGATTTTTTTGCCTTTGCTAGGATCTGTAATTGCCTGTCTTTGCTGTGCAGCAGAATAGGGTGATGTCCATGTGATGCTCAGCAGCAGAAAATAGCAGGCTGTGCTTCTTCACTCCTCCAGCAGCTCTTCCCCTTGGTGATGCACCATGACCAAACCAAGGCAGATCAGCAACAACAAGGGAAAACCAACAAATTCCTCCCACTCAGTGGCTCTAATAGGGCAACATGGCAGCATGTGTCTGCTTGGAAAAGAAACCAATCTGGTAGGTGATACTAAAACATTGCTCATTTGGCTCAGAAAACTTCCCTCTTTTTTTTTTTTTTTTTTTTTTTTTTTTTTTTTTTTTAAAGATTCAAGTTGTGTTACAATAAGCAGGCAGGATAGCACACAATAATTGCTTCTAGGTGACAAATGGAAGGGCTTACTGAGGGTTATTAATTCCTAACTGCCACTCTTGGACTTCCTGGTGTTTGGAAGGCTTCTCAACTCCTTCAAACCCAGCAGGACTTTCTTCCAGCAGTCATGGGCTTGGACAGTTGGTTGATGTGTAAGGACCCAAGAGAATACTAATTAGACAAGAGTGATTAATTTTTAGGTTATAACTAGTTTATTTAAGCCTGGTTAATCAATTCTCAATTTGATGGTTCTGTTCAGGGCCAGGAACTGGACTTGATGATGTTTGTGGGTCCCTTCCAGCTCCCTTCTGTGATTTCACATGAGGACTCTCCAATAATTGCAAAACCACCTCCTTTCTACAATTGCTCCTCCACTGTAGAGATTTTATTTTTTATCTTTATTGTTCATCTATAGAGAAAAGAGACTGCTTACTTAAATTGTCTTCATCCTCCATGGTGGTTGGGCCAGGGCTCAGGTACTTGAAGGGTGCTATGAAGGTTGACAGTATGCTTAGTTTTTCTAGAAGAAAACAGAAGAAAATATACTTATAAAATCAGTACACTAATATACTTATAAAATCTGTCAATGCATTCACATCTACTTCACACTTTTCTCAGGTCAAAACATCTTGGTAAGTCTGTTTGGTTTTAAGACCTGAAGGAATGGCTTGAAGTTGTGTCACTGAAGATTTAGGTTGGATATTGGAAAAAAGGTTCTTCCTTCAGACGGTATTTGGGCACTGACCCAGGGCAGTGGTCCCAGCACCAGCCTGACAGAGTTCCAGAAGTGTTTGGACAGTGCTCTGTGGCACTTGTGACTCTTGGGGCTGATGCTGTGCAGGGCTGGGAGTTGGACTTAATGATCCTTGTGGATCCCTTCCAGCTCAGCACATTCTGTTATTCTGTGACGCTACAGTACCAGCACAGTTTACTGAACCTCAGTGCATTTATTACAGCTGGCAAATGCAAATACCAAATACACATTCCTCCTGGTTTCTGCCCCCATGTAGTCTTTATTGACTGTGTTCCCAGCAGTGGTGCCCGAGCACTGCAGAGTAGGGGATGCTTGAGCTGGTCCAGCTGGGAATGGGGGCAGTCAGCCCTGGGAGAAGGGACATGAGCACTGCTCTCATGGATGAGATCATCTACTTCCCTTGTTTCCTCTCCCCAATGGAAGCTGAACCAGAATTCTTAAGAGAAAACTCACTGATGGATGGCACAAAAGACTACCATGGCTTGTGATTCTACCAGTTTTTGATATGATTTTGGAAAACCCTTATGGTGTGCCCAGAAAGTGATTGTTCACTCAATAAGAACACTATTTGAAATCCCTCTTTTGCATAGATATAAAGTGCTTGTAACTGCAGTTTCTGTTTATCTTGTGTATGGCAGAGACATTTACTTCCAGTGCCACATCAGACTCTGCATTAGAGGCCAGGGCAGATTCAGCAAAATGAGAACTCATACTGACTTATACTAGATTAATACTTGGCTCAGGATTTATCTATAGGGAAAAGCGGAAGTTAACACAAACACTAGAAACAGATATAAATTTAAGTGTTTTATTTCCTTTGAAACTAGTTTGTTTAGCTGAACATTGATTTTGTTTAGGCAGAATTCCTTCTGGCGCACTATGGAGACTTTATTGAGGACCAACAATAGCACAGTGTCTACTTGACAGAAGAAACAGGTGATCCACAGCTTTGAAGAACTTTGTTGCTATCTTAAAGTACTTCTCTGCTTAGAAAGCCTCAGATATGGCTGAGGAAATAGGTAGCTGAGGCTCACCTATTTCCTCAGTGAAAATGCCCTGCATCCTGCACATTGTGAACTATGTTGGCCTCTCATCCTGTGGCAGAAGCATCAAAATCAGACCAAGAATGTATTCTTTCAAGTGAAGCAAGAATAAATATTTCCATGGGAAATTATCATTGAGAAAATATTTCTCTGAATTTCCTCAAACTACCTGTCTGCTAAAGTACCACTGGTCTAGAAACTATTCCAGCTGAAGAGCTCTTTAAACCTTTTCAGCAGCACATCTGTTAGCTTTTTGGCCTGGTTCTTCCTACATTTGCAAACAATCCTTGTTTTTGTTAAAGACTGTTATCAGAACCCATCAAAAATGACTGCATATGTTTGCCCTTGGCTGGGTAACATTACAGCTCAACTCTATTATGGGAATTCACTGTAAAAGCTGACTGCTCTTTGTTAAGTAAACACAATAAGCAGAATAAAAGATTGCCTGAAGAAAACCTTTTTCCGTCCAGAAACCTTTCAGCCCAGACTAATATATAATTAGAGCACAAATTAGCCTCCTTCAATTGCAATTTCATTATGGGATTGCACTGATGTCAGGAACCAAAAGAATGAAGCTATTTATGAATGCTATAGCCAGAAGATTATTCTAAGTGAATTCTTTGACACTTTTTTGCTAAGGCATTGCTCACTGAGAAGTGTGGTGTCTCTGTATGACATCTCACTGTGTGTGAGACTGTTGGGTAGTGATCCTGATAAAGACTGGTATTCACTCCTGACTTCCTCAACTGGTTTCTTTGATTGGAGTGAAAAGAGCGTGGGCTTTTGGGACCTAATCCAAAGGCTGCATTTGGTAAGGGAAATGCTTCAGATGATAGACATAGGAGCAGGGCAGCCCTTGGCTGTAGTGCCAGCAGTGACTGTGGTTCTGGGTACTGGGATCCGAGAGTGTGTGTGCTGCACCTGTGCCTGACTGCTGACAGCTGTCAGACCTTCAGGATTAACCCTCAGGACACTGATGTCACACACAAACCTAAATCCTCTTTGCTGAGAAAATATTCTTACTTCTCATACAGAGTTAACCCATTAACCAAGCACTGTGGAAGTGCTTTCCTGCTGCAGTGGAAATGCTTACTCCTGCCACCATTCAAAATGCAAATCCATTTAGTTTTATATTATACTATTGCTAGGTAAAGGGATATTTTATGATTTAATTTTGTGTAATTGATAGGTGAAATTTACAATGTAGATTTAAAATTCATCATTTTTATTTTTCCTAAGGGATCCTTCAACCATCTTAAGCTTTTGTTGGTACTGTTTTCCACTTGTCCCCAAAGCCCTTGCTGGTGACTTCACGTTGTGTGGCAGAGAAACAGAATGTAAAATTTGCTGCATGCTTAGAGCAGCGATGGATGGCATTGTGTCACAGGCTGGTCCTAATAACAGGATATACTTCTATCAATACCAATGCTAAAGATTATAATTCAATATGTCATTCCATTGGCTAAGCAAGGGAACATTTAGTGTGTGTCTAAATGGGAGGAGGAGGAGTGCAGGATTTTGAATAAGCTCTGGAAAAAGAGAAAAGCTGTAGTATACACACTGCACAGATGAATTATTGACCCAGTGAAGGAGGAAAAGATAAATGACAGAATAATTATTGAAGGTGTTTACAGGGAAATAGTCAGGCTAGGTTTAAAATTATTGGTATTATTATGCACTTCCATCTTTTGCATATTATTGCCTGTTGCTATACAGACCATGAGGCACTTCAGCTTTATTACAAATGGTGAAATTCAGTGTTAATTGTCAAAATTAGGAGACTTGTGTATTCATACTTTATGGTCCCTGTGTAGGTTAATGCCCATCATAATTAGCCTTGTTTCCAGCAGTTTGATGAAATCTTACGAATAAGAATAAAGGACAAGGCTGGATTTGAAAAAATCATAGAGAGAAATACCACAAAATCCTCCTTCTCTCATTTTTTTTTCCTCCCATGACTTTGCTCTTTTTTTTTTCTTTTTCTTTTTTTTCCCAAAAAGAAGACATGACAGATACCTCAAAACTAGAGCAGCCATTTTTACTTTATAATTGTAAATGTTCTCTGTATTTGTATGAGGAAGTTATTTTTCAAGGTTAGGAGAGGGTTTAAGCAGAAAAAAAAAAAGACATTTGAAAAACTCTATATAACCCTATGTTTATGAGAAGTACTACATGAAGGTATTATTACTGGCATTACAGTTGTACCCAAAGCCTCTGATGCCATGAAGAAGAGGTTTCATAAGGGCCTACATGGACACAAAGAAAGCTTTATTTACAATGGAAATTGAGAGACAAAGAGCAGGTATAGTGGAATTTATCTCTAGCTGCCCTGGAACACTATCACAAGATGATAGCATCATATTTTGTAGTGCATCCACTATAAAAACTGTCTTCCAAGTGGAAATCTGCTCCAGGACTATAAGTACAAGAATTAATAATTTCTTCTGAAGGGAAGCCTATTACAGGAAGGAAACCTCACTCTTCTGTTTTGGGATGGAAAAAGATTTCAGTTCACTCTTCCAAGGATATATTTTCCAGCAACAGTAAACAGCTAACATAGAATCATGAACAGTATTTTTACAGTAGCCATAAAAATAATTTAAATTAAAAAACCCATGGAACAAGATTATGTGTTGCATAAAATACAGAAAATCCTTTAGTACAAATTATTCAGCAAAGCCTGGCACATAAGGCAGGCAAGTTTCCACTAAAACCTGCTTTTTTTGTGAAGTTGCTCTTGCCCTGGGGATGCAGTCAGAAGGCTGGTCACAGGTCCTGTAAATACACTTTTATTGTGAAGACAAGAATGCACATATACAGCTATAAACACCTTCATGCCCTTCATACCTATCAGTATTTGAAGGGCACCAGACAATACTGCTTGATCATCAACTCTAGGGAAGTTCTTTCACTCTCAATCACCAGAATAAAAGCAACAGGAACAGCAGGAGCTCAACACTTTTAAAAATCAGCTTTTATACATGTTGAACAAATTGTTTAGCTTTGAGAAGAGCAGACTGAGTGGGGTCATAACAGCAGCCTGCAAGCACATAAAAAGCTGCTGCATGGAAGAACAGAGCAAACTGTGTTCCATGTGCATTAACACAACTAGAAGTAATGGACTTAAATTGCACCAAGGAAAATTCACTTTAGACATTAAAAATCCCTTCCTAACAGTAGGGATAGTGCAGTGCTGGAATAGCTTGTCTGGTGGGGAGGTGCTGAGGGGCTATAGGGAGACAGCTGGAATCTGCAGGGGGTTGCACTTCCTTTATAGAAACGGTCCATCCTTTTACTCTCCCATCTCTACAGACTCCAGCAGAAAAACTTGCCCTGACCATGAGATCCTGCAGCAGGTTCCAGCTCAAACTTGGAAAAGTGAGTGGTATTTGCTGTTATTTGCAGAAGTTTGTTGCATGCTCTTTTGCTTGGCAGCTAATGAGCACTATTAATAATTGTTTTTCAAAAATGCAACTTTCAAACACAAGAATTAGACAGATGGATACCAGTGGTTTGCCAGATCAGTGTTAACAATGCTTTACTGATTTAGTTTCATCCTGATATTCAAATTGATTACCATAAGTTACTTTACTTGTCAGAGGTTTCTTCAACAGTATTTAAAAAAAAAAAAAAAGTGGACATTATAAACCAGTCCTAAGTAATTAATTTGATTTGTGTAGAGTATGAAATTATTCAGGAAGGGACAAATATGATGCAAGAGTA